TGATAACCATTAAACATTTATTAACCTAAATTTCATAACCATTAAACATTTCTTAACCTAAATTTGATAACCATTGAATATTTCTTAACCTAAATTTGATAACTATTGAACATTTATTAACCTAAATTTCATAACCATTAAACATTTCTTAACCTAAATTTGATAACCATTAAACATTTCTTAACCTAAATTTGATAACTATTGAACATTTATTAACCTAAATTTCATAACCATTAAACATTTCTTAACCTAAATTTGATAACCATTGAACATTTCTTAACCTAATTTTTGACAACCACTCATCATTTCTTAACTAAACTTTGATAACCATTGAACATTTATTAACCTAAATTTCATAACCATTAAACATTTCTTAACCTAAATTTGATAACCATTAAACATTTATTAACCTAAGTTTCATAACCATTGAACATTTCTTAACCTAATTTTTGACAACCACTCATCATTTCTTAACTAAACTTTGATAACCATTGAACATTTATTAACCTAATTTTTGACAACCACTCATCATTTCTTAACTAAACTTTGATAACCATTGAACATTTATTAACCTAAATTTGATAACCATTGAACATTTCTTAACTAAACTTTGATAACCACAAACGTTTCTTAACCTAAACTTGATTGATAAGTTTATGATGTATATAGAAAGAAAAACCAATATATGACATAGCGATGTCTCGTACAATTATGTAATACACCATTGATCTGAAAGTAAGATTTTAATCACGGGCCTAATGACATCACATGCCAGCTCACTTTATTGAAAAACATTTTACAATAAAACACCTTGTATGTCATTATAAAAATTAACATAAACAAAGAGTACTTATGATAAGATTAATAATTTCAAATTACTAGCAAGAGTTCCTGTACAGTAAAAAAACAACTTACAAAGTAATTAAATCACAAAAACAAACAAGGAAACCTGTAAAATTAATTTATTGTCTTTAAGTAGCATCCAGAAAAAACAATTACATTATTACTGAAGGCTTCTGATTAAAGAACTAAAATCTTAGAAATTGACAATTCACACAAAGAAAACAAGAGAACAGTACTGCAAATAGACAGCAAGAAATAAGATTATCCCAGCTTTCAGATGATGTATTAGGTTTAGAAACTGGAAAACTCAAAAATAAAAACTACAGTTGGTTGTATTTTACAGTTTTTGACAAAAGAAACACAAAACATTCACTATTTTTAAACAATCTGACTAGAAGTAAGCAATAAATGTATATTAATATCAGAGGTCTGAAGCTAAGTTTTGTACTTGGACAAGTTCTACCCATGCAGACCAGAAGTTTAAATATTTCTATTCCCCAAATACAAATTAAAATTTTTTTTGGGGAGGGTATAAATATTAGGCTAAATCTTCTTGCAGTTTTTATTTCTTTAGCCAAATCAGTGTTAATAAAACTTATATCAAAACAAAGTAATTGTCCTCTTTGTGAGTTTGTACAGAACACACACAACTTCCAGTAATCGTACTTTGTATTTCCTTTTAAGTTATAGTTTTATTCTGTTGGTACTTTCGTCAAACAGATTTTTTAAAACTTCCATGATGTCATTAGCCTTTAAAGAAAAGAACAAGATACCACAATGAGCATGGTTTAAAATTATTTGATATCCTATTTTGTGAGAAGTAGGTACAGATTAAAAACAAGTTTTAGTAACCCTTTTACAAGTTTCTTTACATTCTATTGAAAATATTCTCCCTAAAAACAACCACATGCCATTCATTCATTGACAATATCAAATGAAATAACAAAAGATTGAAAACTACTTGCCTGTTCAACAGCGTTGGTTATTGACACTTCTAACAATGAAGTTAAGTATGCAAGGCGAGTTCCGTAACTGTCGCCGAGAACAGGTAGTTTTGTAAGATATACGTGAACACTTCCTCCAGACCCTGATACTGCCAGAAGCTGTCCATCATCTGTCCAGTCCAACCACTCAAGACCTCTTTCTTCATCAACAGTTATTACAGACTGAACTTCTTTCAGGTCATTCAAATCATGGATTTTAATTCTAAAAGTGGAGAGAAAAATGATCCTATTTATAAAAACTAAAACGTCCCAGTAGTATATCCTATTGAATCTTTGTAATGTTTTGGCAGTATGATCAATTTTTAAGATTTTACTTTTTTCCCCCACAATCACATGACATGTTTACCCTTGCTTAAAGTGTAAGAACTATGATATTTTAATTTTTTATCAAATCAATCACTCAATGTGTTATTTACTTTCATTTTAAGGAAAACCTCAGACTACTAAACAACCTAAAACTGTTCTTTTCTTCAACTTGATAAACAAACCAAAACTTTAATTATATCTGAAATGTTATTTATCTACTTCAAACTAGATTTTACAAGCCACCAATATTTGTCCCATCTTCAGCCTATAGGTTTCTGTCAAAATACAACATGTGGTTGGTCATGTAGACCCATTTAAATAAACATTCTGTAGGAAAGACATGAAAACACTTTATGAAGGCGTAATGGGATCGTGAACACCATGGAGACAGAAAAAATCTAAAAATTTAAATCAGACTTTGTTTAACAGAAACTTTAGGCAACGAAAACGGTTAGATTGGAAACTATGGGACAGGAAGATGTTGTTTGCAGTGATGTCTCAACTTCACAGGAAAATGTAGTCGTTAATAAAGTTGAGACATCACTTCAAACAACATCTTCCTGTGAAGTTGAGACAGTACTTCAAACAACATCTTCCTGTGAAGTTGAGACATCACTTCAAACAACATCTTCCTGTGAAGTTGAGACATCACTTCAAACAACATCTTCCTGTGAAGTTGAGAGAGCACTTCAAACAATATATTCCTGTCAAGTTGAGACAGTACTTCAAACAACATCTTC